ACACACGTCGTGCCATCATCTCTTTCAACAACATAAAGACGTTGACAGCATCAACGTGCGCGGCTGCGTGACTGGAATACGTGAGGCTCTTCAGGCTATCACCAGAACATGTCGTGTTGTCGCCTTGCTGCTGCCGGTGGCGGGGTTGGTGCTCGCAATGATTGCGTCTCTTTTTGCCACGTCAGCACTCGACGCCGGCGACTATGTGCACGGCATCGGTACGGGCCACTTCCTGCCGCTCATGACTAGGCGGCGGCATAAACGGTATTTTTGATCATCTTCGTAGCGGAAAAACTTTAAAAATTTATAACTTAATGGATAATATTGGATTCTAGACGCATGCAAGGAGAAGGAAATAGTCTTTAAAATATGTGATAATATTTTCGTTTGATCGTCTTCGTAGCGGAATAACTTCAAATAAATTCTAACTCAAGAGATTATATTGGATTCTAGACGCATGCAAGGAAAAGGAAACAGTCGTTGTAATATGCGATAATATTTCCGTGGGTCGAAAGACTATGTTTGTGCGGCAATACGTCGTTGCTATAGAAGCGGTTTATTTGTTGCTTGAAAGGCTATTTCTCTCATAATAATCGTTGAAGTTGAATGACGCTCACATGTAAACTGCCGCGCAAATCGTTCGAGGAGCCAACCTAACCCTTCAAACACTTCTTCTCAACTCCATGGAAACCCTTCAAGATTGAAGGACTCTGTTCAAAATTAAAAATTTTTTGCAGCTCTGAGGATTCAAATAAAACTTCTACCGGTTCTACGCGTTTTTATTGCGAGTATAAGTTCGGTTCAAGATCAAAATGTTTTTATTGCGAATAAATTCGGTTCAAGATCACTATGTTTTTATAGCGAATAAATTCGTTTCAAGATCAACATGTTTTTATTGTGAGCAAAATTTATTCTTTTAATTATGCATGTTTGCAACTTGTGCATTTTCAACATGTGTTTCTGGTCTACAATTGAACGCAGTAATTTTTTCGTCCGAGGAATTTGATAATACGAGCATCGCTTCTGTGCCAGCCATTCCTCTCCCCTCGTACACCTGCCCGAAGGATACCATTGGCAGGGAATGATGGCATTTGTGGGGAATTATTACCTTTTCGGGAATGATAGCATTTATGGACAAATATTGCGTTTGTGAGGAAAGATAGCATTTGTGGGGAATGATACCATTTGAGGGGAATGATATCATTTTAAGGGGAATTATACCATTTGAGGGGAATGATACCATTTGAGGGGAATGATACCATTTGAGGAGAATGATATCATTTGAGGGGAATAATATTGCCTGTTGCTAATGATAGCATTCCCCACATGATAGCATGATAAGAAATCACAGCATATTTTAATTCGATTTTCAAAACGATTTTATTTTGTATCATTACATCATAAAACTAATTACACAACAAGTAATTCGCTTTATGATCATTAATTCCTGATGGAAAAAATCTTACTCTTATTACGACGAAAACCTTTATCCCATTCTCAAAGAGCATGCATCAAAATTAGGAACGTTCCCTAAGGTTGTGAAATTATACACCACGTTTTCACTTGTATCTGTGAAGATTCCCCAGTAGGCTCATTTGAATACAGACCGATTTATGTGTTGGCTGCCGAGGTTTACACCCTTCACTGCCTTCGCTGCTCACCGGCCGTAATCTGGACAACAGCTGGCATACCTCTGATTCAGTCGAGGGCACGTTGCATATTCAGCCTGCGAGCTGCTCATACATTTCGCTGCCTAAGATCAGAGTTACAGACATCGTAGTTATTTCTAATTCTGCATAATCAATTGCGAGCTTATCATGCGCTTTGCTGTTCTCAAGAATTTTTTCCGTTCCGCGTATATGAGAAAAGGTATTGGAATGAAATCGGGTGCAAATGACTTCAAAAAGTTATGTGTTTTTCATGTATTAAAACGGGGAATTATGGTATAATTATTGTGTCAATTTAGAGGTTGAAGTCTACTTCAAGATATTATTGTAGAATTTCGATAAATTAAATAAACAAAATACGTATTTTTCAATAAATTAACTAGTAAGAGCTACTTAATTTAACCATTTGAAATGTAAATTTTGCAAAGTATTTTCGCCATAAAGCCAACATTATACTAGATAGAAAAAAGGTTATGCTTGAGTGTTAAACTTGTGAAATCGCATTGAAGATTCAGTTTTTGCCCTTAATAATATTTTCATCTCGAGAACACGTAGGGCTCAGCTTCTCACATGCGCTACAAACCAAGAAGGTTCACTCAGAAATGGCCAGAAAATTAGGATTCTCTCTGGTTTCTTGGCGTCAATAGAAGCCCTAAAATCCAGTGTTCACGAGTCGCATTACAAGACTAACAATAAAGTTTCTCTAATGCCCAAAGTTTTTTCATAACTTGTGTGTTTCTCCCGTGGCAGCGTTGTTCTGTACATCGTAATATAGAGCATCGCCACTTATTGATTGAGCTTCTATACGACGCACTTTATTTTTAATCTTAGACTCTACTTTTTCATAGGAAAGAAAATCAAAACTCCATATCGAGTTTGCTAAACGAATTTAAGACCAGTGATAGAATATTATTTACATTACATTTTTATTATATTATTTTCTAATACTTTGGATTGATAATTATGCAGCAATGAGATAGAAATATATTGTGTGTCAGTGAATGTCTGAAAAAATTTTGGTCTGAATTAATTTAAGACTAAATTTATTGAAGCAAGTTAATATGCAGTTAAAATTTACTGTTTTAAACATGCACAATTTTGCCTTCTATAGTTTTTAAAGAAGGATTTTTAACGTTTAGCAAAATTTTTATTGTTTCCATTTCTTCAATCCTGTTTCAAATCGAAGATGCCCGGTTTTAAACTTCACTGAGGGAAGATTGACTAGATAATATCAACAAATTTTGCAAAAAGAAAATGTTTAACCAAATTTGCAGTAAAAATCGTTCATACTGAAATAAAAACTCAGAAAATATATAAATAATTTGTATATATTTATATATATATAAATTAAATAATAATGTTCTATGCGAATACGTTGTTAGTATAAACTGGAGCATTTCTCACAGGCGCGACCAAGTTTGCTCTGTAGGAAGCGAATTCGTCTTTCAAGTAGGAAACAGTTATTCAGGCGGATATTCAAATGTTCTGCCCGGCACGAGTTATTGGATTACCTGAAAGAAATTGAACCAAAAGCTCTGCATAAACGCGGACGTTGAAGACCACAGTCCGAATGGAACCGAAACCCTGGACGTTTCTAGGAATACCAATGCTTGGAATGGAATTTGAATTGGAAATCTATCGGATCCTAACGTGGAATTTATTTATTGAATTTGACGGCTATAACATCACTGAAGAATTTGTGTACAATCATGATGCTGAAGGAAACTCCTAATTTAGTTGACAAACGCGTAATTTCCACACTAAACGTACAATATAATGGCAGGAGGTCCAAATTCAAATCAATGCTTGAATGTTAAATTCAGACGCTAAGCGAGGTCTGTTGAATCATGCAGTCTCCACATTCACTTGTGCAGATAGCTCATTCATTTCATATGCATATAACTTTATTCGCATGGTCTATTAACATAATTTTCAGGATGAAATGTCCGCAGATTTATTTCATTCGATGTCTTCACTCTTCGCCAGACGCACACCCATATCGTTGCCGGCTTCCAGGCTGTTCGGTCATTCGATTAGTAGCGGCGACCTCATCTTCAGAGGCTTGCATGCCTTCACTCCCTCAAGCTGTAGCCAAAGCCACTTTGTATCCATTTAAGTTGGCGAACTTAATTTAGGAACAAACTTTGAAGTTGTGCACCGCATTGTGCAGCCATTGACCGTTTGCACAGCAGCGTGCTGACTGTCATCAAGGAGTCAGTGCGGGTAGCCGCGGCGCTATAGCGATACCTGGGACTTTCCGTGGGACAAGCTCCCAAGACAAGCTGTCCCAAGCTCGTGGGACTTTCCGTGGGACAAGCTCCCAAGACAAGCTGCCCCAAGCTCGTGGGACTTTTCGTGGGACAGGACAATGCTAGGACTTGCAGGCACTTATCAAATTGTTTACAAAGTTTTTAAACTATTAATAAATAAAGTTTAATACATAGCTGAATAAACCGATATTTTCAACGGTGATTAGCTCAGAGACAATTGTTTCAAGAACGAATACCTTTTTATGTTGGTATTAAGGTTGTACTTATTCTTCTTGTACTACAATGAAATTAGGAAATTATTTCTAATCTCAATGATTGTTGCCTCGCAATCGTCGTATACGTCGCGACGGCAGCATCCGAACGTAGGTTGCAAGCAGCGCTTACTCACGGCCCCTGCGCTCGCTATTCTGTTCGGCAGCGCTCACAATGAATTGCAACGCTCACAATGGATTGCAGCGCTCACAATGGATTGCAGCGCTCACAATGTATTGCAGCGCTCACAATGAATTGCAGCGCTCACAATGAATTGCAGCGCTCACAATGAATTGCAGCGCTCACAATGAATTGCAGCGCTCACAATGAATTGCAGCGCTCACAATGAATTGCAGCGCTCACAATGAATTGCAGCGCTCACAATGAATTGCAGCTGTCTCTTATACACATCTAGATGTGTATAAGAGAGTGGTATAGCAGTCAAGAATTATCGCTCTGCTCGATGATCCTTATCTTGACCTTAACTCTCATAGGTCCTTATCGCGTCTATCGTACTAGATACGATAGTCTTCGAGGGTCCTTGAGCATAGCTCCTCGCATCCTTCATACAGTCATTCTACAAAATCCACATCATAAAATAACTAAAAACCAAATTCAAAGATTTTCTTCAAAGCTCCAGACACATTAAATAAATTAGCATGCATTATGCTACGTCGTACACGCGTAAAAGCAAAACGATGAAGAACTCTCGCGTGTTGTGCTTGTGGGGAATTCGCGTGAGCGAGAACTTTTTAGTCATGCGCTCTACAAAGCTTGTCGAGACGCGCCACGAAGTTGACGTTCAGCAGTTCAGTCATCCATGGTGCTAGTGTACGTGGTTATGCGCTGGCCCTTGTTACTCTTACTTGAAATCCAAAATATGACTATTTGTGATTAGTGTAGTCCAACTTAAGCCTAATCTAACACCGAATTCAACTAATTCTATTTATTGCTCTTCACTCACGCACCAAAATATTTTTCTACCTTCATCAGTTTACCCGATAAATACTAGGAAATTTAACTTAATTGATACGTAGATAGTGAAGCTAAATGGCAGTTACTGGGCTGCATTGCTGGAAAAAGTTGGCGGTGTTGCTGCTAGCGGTGGTTGTTCAGGCACGGGAACGATGCACGGGATTAGACTACCACACAGGCGACCTCTCGCCTGCCGCCAACTCCGAGTTTTGCGCCATTCTTCTTGGCAACACTGACTGTAATTTTCAGTGTGTGGCGCAGGTAAGTGAGTGTGATGCCATGCTACTCGGCAACACTGACTGTAATTTTCAGTGTGTGGCGCAGGTAAGTGAGTGTGATGCCATGCTACTCATCAACACTGACTGCAATTTCCAGTGTGTGGTTCAGGCAAGTGAGACGCATGCATATGGTCGGTTTTGTTCTCTGGTTATTTAGGATTTGAAAACAGAGCTTCGAAATTATCTTACTTATAGTCAACGATGCAACTTCGTTAAGGTGACGAAAATCATGGAAAGTTTTACAAAATCTAAAGAAGAATTCACAATTATATGAACAAATTTTTGTGGAATGACGAGAACAAAGTTGGAAAGTAGGTGATGCAATGGGCCCAGCTTAACGTCTAAAAATAACAACTCAGTACCACATAACAAAAGTTATTACATGGAAACGCAAATGTTTGAGATGATGTCCATTGCGAATGACAAAAGAGCGCACACATAAGATATGCCTTAAACGTTTTAGACCGCGTATTTATATCATTACTTAGCTTATATGGAAATAATCAGGAACAGAAAAGCAAAAAAAAAATGCCAATTGAATTCATAATAACTTCGTCGGAAACGTTTGTTAGCTAGACTAGCTCCTTCATCATTAACATACAATAATTCAAGAAAAACCCACAGTTTGGTCTTTATATCGATTATTTTTGAACTGTCAATGAGTTTAGTTTTTTGAAACGTTGCAATGAAATTATCATGAACTTACTTAGCATTTTATTTGGTTATGAATTCTTTGTCCCGCACTGCAAAATTGTTTATTGATGTAGCAAAATGACCTCTCTTCGCTCAGTTCCTCTCAAGTCCTACAACAGCTACTCGCACACTTACCATTCAGATCGTCGTCATCAGCACTGAGTTTCCTAACACCATCAATTATTGTACCGAGTGAACACCCTTGTCTCCGGGCAGGCAGTCTTCCTCACTAAGTCCCCATCTAACCCTTCAATCGTCCCTCCAACAGAACGTACTGGTCACGGAGGACAGGCTCAGGGGCAGGACGTCTTCCTCACTAAGTCCTCCTTTAACCCTTTAACCGTCCCTCCAACAGAACGTACTGGTCACGAAGGACAGGCTCAGGGGCAGGACGTCTTCCTCACTAAGTCCTCCTTTAACCCTTTAACCATCCCACCAACAGAACGTACTGGTCGCGGAGGACAGGCTCTCGGGCAGGCCGCTGGTGGTGACTTCAGCACGTCGGCTGCTGCTGCACCCCACGTGTGTCAGCTGGATCTTGGTCCGCAGCTCTGCCAGGGTCTCCACAGGCAGAGGATCAGTGCGTTATTAGTGTCCGCATTCATCTCCAGAGTTCATTTTGTCTTCGTAATGTAACCTGGAAATTACTGTTTAGAATTTTTACTAGATCAAAACCGTACAATAAACCAAACAGATTCTTAAAATATAACTATCTTACATCAAAATGTAATATCTATTGCAACCGACACCAGTAATAATTGCTTTATATTTTCTTTCAGCTAGCGTATCAACACTGCAGGTACTGGTTGAGAATAAAAGATTCCGAGGCCACGACGCTGGACTTCGGTATAATTGATCTCTCTGTAGAGAACTCGGACATCGCATCAATAAACTTGCCTGAGCTTCGTCAATTGCTCATCGACAACTCAACAGTAACAGCTATCGACAGGGCAGAAATAAGAGTCTATCCAAGTGTCATACAAAATTCTTTTATTCAAGACATTTTCTTCGTGAATATCTCGGTAGCGAGCTTCACGATTTCCAACTCGACAATTGGCACCATCGGGCCACAAAGCATAATTTTCAATGGATATAACTTGATATTCGAGAATGTGTTCATTAGAAATATCAAGTTCAAAGGCATCAACATGCTTTCGGGACTATTAATTATGCGAAACTGTACAATTGGTTCAGCAGAAATTAACTCCATCGTGACCTTAGAATCTAAAATCAAATTAGAAAATGTAAACATTCTGAGCATGGAAAAGCCCGGCTTCGCTCTGCAATCTGCCCAGGAAGTATCAATTTCTGATTTAACGATATCAGGGCAGATTGTCACGTTAGAGTCAAGCTACTTTAGTTTTCACGACGGCTCCAGGTACGAAGAAGGCGAGGATGTAACAAAAGAAGCCGTAATTACTGGCTTCACTAATCAGTATTGCAATTTCCACTTCGGTGCTCTTCTCTGCGATTTTGCTGGTGTGGACAAGGTATTTCAGTAAAAAAAATAGCATAAATTTCAGTAAAGAATATGACTCTTGTGCTAGTCATGAATGAAGTTTCATAGACACTTTTATAATCAATTATAGGCCCTAAATGATATCGCGCAGTCTGCACAGTTGTACAAAAGTTTTAAGCTCGTTATTTCCATGATAGTGCGAAATGTAAAATATATTTTTAATTCATTCTACCATTATATTTCATGTTTCTCTTCGCTAATGCCGTCCATGCCTCAGCCCGTAGTATTCGAGCGCAACGCGCTACCGCCTCAGTACTCCGTCACGATTGCCAACGCATCTTTACTGCGCGCGGTCGGCGACTTCAGTTGCGCCCACATCCAAATTGTCAACAGCAGCGGGCGATTCATAAGCCTAGTGAATGCCACGTGTCTCTCGGGAGGCAAACTTTCCATCATTGGATCACAGATGACCACCATATCAACTAACACAGCGTCTTCCCTAACCATCAGTTCAAGCACAATTGTCTCCCTTCAGGCCGCGTCTGTCAAGAACCTCAAAGTTATAAACTCGACCTTCCTGAGCGTGTACGACGTGATTGTTAGCGAAGAGGCTTCATGCAACCAATCTCATTTCCTTCAAGTATCATCTCTGAGACTAGCAGGATCAGGCTGGATCCTTGATTGCAAGTTTGATAAGGTGACTCTTGCACGAACCGCGTAACTTAGACAGAAATAATATACGTTTAAAAGTTACTTTTTAAAGACCACACTTCTAAAGAATCCAGTGTCTCTAATGTTACAGATGTACAATGAATTTTTCCTTTTTTTAGAATATTAAAAAAATATATTTTTTCAATTTTTTTAATTAATATATAAAAATTTTTCAAAATTATTTATTTTGTCAATTGATTCATGCATTGCCTCCGATTTCAAACAATGTGCAAAATTTCAGATCAATTGGACAGGTAAAAGTGTGTTAAATATCAGTTATAAGATTTGTAGCTGACAAAATTATTTTTTAAATTTTTGTAATATTGGAACAAATTTTTAAAATCATTTATTTTGTCATTTGATTCATGCATTGTCTCCAACTTCACGCAAGTGTGCAAAATTTTAGATCGATAGGATAAGTAGAAGTTTGTTAAATTTCGATTATAAGATTTGTAGCAGACAGACAAACAACAAGAAGTGAAGTTAAAGAGAAGTGTTGTTAAGTGACATAGCATTTGTAACTTACCAAGTTATTTGTAACATAATTTTCTTCATTCGATTATATCAACCTTATCTCTATGATATTTATCTCTAATTAGAAAATTTTTTCTTACAAGTGGTTCTTTAATCGTCCAGTCTTCCACATAAATCTTTCTGATACTAACGAATCTTTTGCGGGACAGAGTTTTGCACCAGATACCGGAACATAATATGCGATGAGTTCAAAATTGAGATCCAATTTCCGAGCACTGCACTAAAGATTATTCCACACTTTCACATCTTCCGTCCGTTTCGGTATACGTTCGATTTCTGGAGCCTCTTATTGACTTTTCAGATCACATCTTTGGAACTTGATTCTGGGAGCGAAAACATTCGCTTTTCCAACGCTGCCATAAACTCCATCTCACAGAAGCGCGGCATTTGGATCAGAAGCGGACTTACGACGATGGAAAACGTAACGATATTCGAAGCAGAAGCGGCAGGCATTTTTCTGGAGGTCGATTCACGGCTATCTCTGGAAAACGTTTTGTTCAATAGAAGCGTGTTTGGAGCCATCAGCGTTGATAACGAAGAGCAAGTGAGTGGCTATTTGCACATTTCAACACTTCAAACAAACAAGAAAACGGTCGTATGTTGTTGAAGAACTCAATAACACTTTTTGCGCACACCTATACCAGTAAAATATTCGTCTAAGGCTTTCAAAGTTTACTTTTTTCACATTCATGTATCCTAGATAAATATTTTCATGCATTAAAATTGATCATTTATTCACGCATTTATTGTATTTCTTCAAGGTGTCGGTGTGGCCCAGTGGAGAGCCAGCACACGAGCTTCTCTTGGCCATCCAACGGCGCACCGGCGAAGCAGGAGACGTCGCAGTTAATCCAGACGCGTACGTGGCAGACGATCAGCAGCCACACTGTTTCTTCAACGAATCTGCGCTCATCTGTGATTATTCGCAAGCTGAAAATGTATGTTATATACTAGGCCATCAAAACCCTATAGTTATCCTTGATTTAAATATTGAACTCATCTGGTAAAAAAATAAATTAAGCGTCAAAATTTTCCGATGAAAAAATAAGTACGATCAAAACCTATACTTATCCTTGATTTAGGGATTGAACTCATCTGGTAAAAAAAATAAATTAAGCGTCAACATTTTGCGGTAAAAATGCAAAGTTAATCCTTGGGCTGTAGAAACAAATTTAAAAGGTAGAACTATTTTTATTTGGCTTACTTGCGAAAAATGAATGCCGTTAACAGCTGTCGGAGTGTTTGTTTGTTCTGCAGGCCGTTGTGGTGTCTTCGTCGAACGCCTCTACAGTGATGATGACCGACGCCAGGGAGATCATCATACGGCCGACTGGTTCACAGTTTGTGAGTGCTCGAATGGAGATTTCTGAGAGACGTTTCCAAGTTACGCTGAAAAAATATATTTATCGAAAAAAATACTTATGATCATGGTGATGCATAATGTATTTGTAACTTTGAAATATTTAATTTTAAATTGAAAGCAAAAATTTTCCTATGATGACGTTTGAAATATTAATATTGTTACAACCTTGCCAAAATTACTCATTATACTCAACTCAACTATGTTAACTTACTTCGTACGTTTATTTGAAAAAAATGGACTTCCAAGAAAAAACTTATCAAGGCATCCGATTATCGTGGGACCGGTAAAGAAAATAGGGCAATCCCTCACAATATCTGAGAAATGTGTGTTGTTACCTCATGGGGATCTCATCGCGTTTCATCGTAACATTGCAGAAAGATGCATTGATTTAGTTTCCGTCAATGCTCGATGTCGCTACCTATTGGATATTTTATATTGTGAGCGACATACTTATTAGATATTTTATATTGCGAAATGGTGCATGCTCACTTCTATGGTACTTACTAAAAATTTAACTTCTTCGTTGAACGCACAACAATCTGACAATCAAGGTTGCATTGACTCTCAGGATATTTATTTGTTGATGAAGTGTTCTGTTTTTCGTGCATGTATACAATGTGAAAAGAGAAAGGAAAATCGTATGATAAGATGTGTTTAATGTTTATGTTCTCAGTAAGATTACGCCAAGCCTTAATTCAATTAAAAAATTTCCCTTCATGAGAAATTGGTTGGGCTTTGCGGTTCAACGAAAAAAAATTCTATTTCGAATTATTATCAGTAAATACAATAAATGCAACGAGGCTATAGAGCTTCTTGAGCCTGCTTACGCATAACTAAGTTAAATCCATTTGGCTGGCATATATTTTGCATACATGAGCTCAGTCAGGCTGCTCGTCATCGTAGGCAGGAAGCATCGTATTGGGCCGAGCTTGTTATCATCTTTTCTTTATATGAACTAAGTCGACGAGCTTTGATGTCGTGCTGTCCGTCTATCAATCCAGATGAGAAAGCCTTTACATAACCACGGAGAAAATATAGAACCAAAGACAGAAAGAGGCGGAAGGCTGCTGATTTTGGATTAGGCTGTCCATCATCATAAGAATTTAATGAGGGTTATTGTCGCATGCACTGATGTCACATTCTAATTAAAGAAAAATATTTGAAAATCTAATATAGTGGAAACTATTAGGAGGCACTGATTCTAAATTTTGAAATTCAGGCTATGCTACTGTCTCAATGCTTAAATTCCATTTCTGTCCACATCAAGTTTTTAAATTCCACCACTACCAATAATTATTATTAGTCAACCTTTGCTTGATAATAATAGAGATTGAAATGTTGTGTTGAACAAGCAAAATAAAATGCTGGAGTGCTTATTTACCATAATGGAGAAGGAATATACAACAAGGCCTGGAAATTTCTGGCGTTTTTACTCAAAAAAAACGGAAATTCAATAGATGAAATTTTAATTTTAATTTATTTTAGTTTCTTTCAGTTAGATAAAAATTTCTTAACAAATTTCATCGCATGGTGCAATTCTTCAGAATAATTAGGATATTCACAGTGATACAGTGGTTATAAATTTCGCCCTGTCTTCTGCTCTTCCTCGGGTGTGCAGATCGTCGTGAGTCGCGTACACGTCATCACGGTTGACCACCGCCTCGATGACTCCGACCTGACGCTCTACCTGATCCTCTGCAGCCTCGACGTCTTCACGGCCGCCGTGCACTCGCTGGCCCTCGAGTCCTCGTCTCTGAACTCGCTGTCCGTGTCTCCTGACCACCAAATCATGTTGTTAGCTATGAGAAACAGCACCGTACGGGAAATTATGGTGCTCGCCGATCAAATTATGGTCAATCAAGTGGAAATAGGGCAAATTCGGCTACTATCCGGTGATTATATCACAATAGACAGCTCTTCAATCGAGACTATTCATACATCAGGGTTTGTTTTCCGGGTAGAATGTTTCGTAAACAACTCTGTGATGTACAGCATTGAGGACGATGGCTTTATCATCGAAGGTGATGCCTACATTACTGATACAAACATGACCGTGACTGGCCAGAATCCCATCGTGGTGCGAGAGTACGGTTCACTGATCTTGCAAAACGTGAATATTCTCAGCAGTGATACAATCTGTCCCTTCCTGATATTAGGTCACATTGAGCACATTTCTGAGGTGACAATTAATCACATCGTGATTGATTCTGTTGAAGATTTTTTAATTCATTGTGAAATTGTGGACGACCAGCACGGGCCTTCAGGGACATCTGTTTGGGATGAACGACTCTACGGACACCGACGCACATTTTGGCTGGGGCTCTTGGCTGGCGTTCTGACGTCCATGTTCCTTGTAGTTCTGCTGATTTTCTCCGTTAAATCTTACAAGTAGGTTGAGTAACAAAATCCTTAATTTGTCAGAAGGGCAGGTATTATTTCATCTGTCATTGCAGCAAATATTTACGAGCAAACATTCAGACGAGTGATACATAGAAATCAACTACGTATTTCTTCTTTAGTTAAATTAAAATAATGGTGCACTAATAATCAGAATCAGAACTGTTTGACAACCTAATTCTGGTTGTCAAACAGTTATCACATGTTTTTTTATATTATTTGCGGCTACGGTATGCAGGTTTTCCAGCAAATTAATTCGATGAGCGGCTAATATGTATAAGTATTCGCCTATGTAGGACAAGGTCCTACCATTATTCATCAATACAATAGCCTTCCATTTTGTATAACAATAATAATATCTCCCTAAGTCAATGGCATTACTTCGTTTGCCCGTTCTGTATTTTGATTATGTAAATAAATCGTAAAAGTGTTCATAAACATTGGCTAATTTTAGATGAAAGCTTCGAGAAAATGGGTTTATTGATTGTTTATTGGTGATAATTGTTCTGTAAATCGCACTGACCATTTTTTCAGATCGTGGAAACAATCACAACTGCCTAAAACGTTGATAACTTGGCGGAACTCATCAGAAACGGTCATCTACTCCGGACTGGCGCAGACTGAACCTGTGGAAGCTGTCCCCCTTGATACAGAGAACGCAGGAGACACTGAGAAAACCAGACTCGTCCAGCCAGAAGAAGCTTAATGAATTTTTAGATAATCCATAATAATTGATAATAACCTAGGACGACGGAAAGTTAGGTGTTGTGATTAGCGCGGCAGAAATCTTAACGTGACGGATTTTAAGTCAATGCAAGTTTAGTGAATTTAAAACTAATGCCTAAAGAGATTATTATAACTGTCCATGACGGCGGAAAGTTAGTTGTGGCGGTAATGGTCACAGAAATCTTTGCGTGGTTTATGTTTAAAGCAAACATGCTTGCACTTCGCTTCCTTCTAACCCGTCCTCAGTTTTTCTGTCAGATATTATTTCCAACTTCCTTCTAGCAAGAAAAAAAGTTAAATGTTTAAAAGTTATATGTTAATTAAATCTTTAATTCGAAGCTGAAGCTGCGTGTATTCAGACAATACGTACTGTTATGTAATCCATGAACAAAAGTAACGACCGCATTTAATTTTTCACCAACATATTGTATCAAATTGAATAAAATATTAATGGTATAGTAACATTTCAATTATCATTCGTATGTCGTCGTAATAACCAACTTACATGCATTAACAGTTTTAAGTACTGTCATTATTGTAATGATTCTCACAATTCAGTGCTTATTGCTTGCAATTAAATAAGAGAACATTCCCGCTCTTTACTAACCGACGAACGGAATCATTAAAATCACCTAATAATGAATATGATTGCGCTAATTAAACTAACGATGTACGAGCAAAACATGAAGTCGGATACCTCCTTATCAGAGATTTTACATAACTCGTTTGCGTGTTTTGCATTACTCATTAGCAGCATTGAGCTTTTTCCAAATAAAAAAAACTTTTTTTGGCTCAACAATGGAACATTGAAGTCAACCCTTCATCGATGTACGATGCAAAAAAGATGGCTACTTGGTAACATATGTCATCAGTGCAACGATTACAATTTTTAGTTTAGTTATTCATTTAAATCATTGTGTTTCTTTATTGTAACAATGTTGATGCAAAAGTATTCTCGTGCTGTTATTTTTCTTCACTTTTTTATGACAACGTCCATACGTCGTGAGATATATCGTAATTTTATTATATTATCCTACCAAGCCCATTTAGTTGTTCTTCTTTTCCATGAACGTGCATCAGTCTGAAAAAAACCCAACGGCTTATTTATAGTTCAACCGCCCGAAAAAATCTCATTACGATATCCAACCTCGAATTCTTTTGATCTGACTCGTAAAGTTTGAGCGCCGAAACAATTCCCTTTACAATTTCCAGTATAAATTCTTTTAAATCCAGCACATAGCGTTCAACCGCTATTTGATATTTCTTTACAAAATTAAATTTCACATTTTTTAGATCAGGTTCAACTAGTCGCCTTCCAAACGATCTCAAAAACAATGAGAGTTCATAAAAATTCCGTCCATTAGCATAATGAAACAAAACCGATATTCTTGAAAGCCATTTGCTGTTTCATGGCCAGTCCAAAAAGGCGTACAGTCTCTCTGCAATAATTTTTTCTTGGCTTTTAAAGTATGACCCTGCGGCATGCGAGGACGCCCGCCATCAATACACGAAATACGAAAATGACGTCGTAAATAAGAGCAAAAAATTACCCTTCGTGGATTGAGTTAAAAGAAGACGCTTTGTTATTCTCATGCGGTAAAATAAAGACCTGTTTTTTCGTATCAAACGTATAATTTGGCCTCTGTTACTGCGGCTACATTACAGTTTTGTTACGGGATCACTCAATTGTTCGTAATGGGCAATAAAGCCTGTATTGCGTTGCTTCATACGAAATCAACGAATTTGACTTGGGTTAGGCACGAGCTTGTGAAGCAGAGCTGCTATAATTTATTTACATGTGGTGCACTCACATTGAGTGCTAATTATGTTCGTGGAAATTTTCTGGATGATCCATGCAAATTTTAGATTTATATTTCTAGAATACTAACGTAATTCTATATCTCAAATAAATAATTTTGAGATGTTTATCCTGCATTTTTTAGAATGCGGCTCTCAAATTCATATTTAACTAAAGCGTTTCTCATATGAGCGTTACCAGACTTCTTATCAGGCGTTCAATCTTGAACAAAATTTGACGTAGACATGAAACCTGGGGCCAGAGACGACAAGTTTGTGACAGTATCTGCCTACTAGAGCGGCGTCTGCGAAGGACGCATACTTTAGCCAAACATTTGTCAAGAAAATTTCCTTTCGTGTGTGCCGGTGGAGAAACAAGGCAACAGGAAGGAGCCTTGCCGAGCCGTGGAGAGCAGACATGGAACTAAATATCTGATGTCTGTTGGAGGCTTTATTCTTTGTAAGCAGCCGTACTACAATTTTTGGGAGTTATATCATATTATATGACGAGTGATTTGCTGAATAATGGTTTTATGCATTCAAGAAGAGCAAAAAAAAAAAAAATACAACAACAACGTATTGTACTATTTAAAAATGAACGATGTCATACGCTCTGGAATGAGTTATTCATTGAATTACTTATTATTTTAAATTAAGTTAAAATACATTCTGCATTTATGAATAAGTGACAAAGAAATTCTGTGCAACTTATATTTTGCTTGAAAAAAGTGAAGTAACCCATTTACATCTATTACCTTTTATCATCCCAAAATTCCAAAGAAATTTATTTTGATTAGATTCAGGGTTTAGAGAATTTTTTTTATGTATATGTGCTTCATACCATGTGGTTATGAAACCTGAATACTTTCATGGATAATGACAATGACATTCAATACAGAATTTAGTTTAATTTTAAGTAAATTATTTTTTAATCACCAAAAAATTTAATAAATATGGTTTTTGATTAGTTAATTTTGAACAGTTTACCTTTTTGAAGTGCTCAATTGTGTAGGTTGTGTAATTATATTTAAGTAAAAAGAGGATGCTATTTTATTGCCCCAAGTCAAAGGTTCTTGTGACAGTCAGTTGGCCGGTGGCTGTGGTCGTGAGAGGTTGTGTGACAAATCGCTTGTCTGGTCTTGGCTGACTGGCTACTCTTTCCAGCGCATCCTGGATCAATTTTCGAATTATAATCTCCGGCGAAAAACAATCGCATGCTTTACATCCAATCAACAAACAACAGTTCAAATAAACTTTATTTCTAATAAACCTTATCATCAAACGCAGAAATATTTTATACGTTTTTGAAATTTTACGATCTGCGCGTTAAACTCATTCAATACCTTCAAATATCATTAAAAATTGAAAATAAAGTGCATGACTCTAAAGCAAAAATTTTTACTTGTAATTCAGCTTTCATATTGTCCCGTAAAAGTGAAAGAATTGAAAGATATTTACTCTGCTTTGAAAAGTGGTGCCTTGGAAACAAAAGTGGCGATATAATGTTGAATATCTCCTCTAAAATTCACATAAAAATGTTAACAAAATATACATACAGTTAGAGTGGTGAATAAGTTCAGTGCAACATCTAAATCTATTTTTTTAACTGCAAATGATACACTTTAGTGCTTTTATTTTCTAATAGATAATGCACCGTTTGATGCATTTCTATGTATTATATATTACATGCAAATTTCTATATTTATACATTTATATTATATTTATATATATGCACAGTATTATATAGATAATATATAATATATTTTTAGCCTTACCTGCAGCAGCTTACGAAGTAGATTGAGCAGAAAACATAATTGTGTATTTCTTGAAATGTCTTTCATCATGAAAAATTTGTAGAATACCGCAGAATATTAAATTTATCACGTATTAAATAAGAAAAACAAAAAATTAATATACAATGAAAACTGATTTTTTTCTATCATTGAGTTATACCCCATCAGAGAGAAGGAATACATGTTCTTCAGATAAAATTTACAACGGCCGATATCATAGAACCAATTGCATAGATTTAATGGTGTTCAGTAGGAGATGTGCTATATTAAAATTAATAAATTTATTGGTCATCGTTCTGCGAGTTAGTTAAATACGCGGTGTAAGATCCGCAGAGTTTTTCCTCTCTCGACTAAAGGCTCCATCATACATATTAATCATTAAAATTTAGGAAGTTCTTTGAACAAAGATTGATAAATGGGCAGGACCAAAAGTTAAAAATCTCCCATATGAAAATAACCACACTTGGGGGCATTAGTTCTATCCCGAGACAAAACAGCGCTTTTTTGATAGCTTTGAGCCGTGAAGTTTGCAAACTATTGAGCAGTGGGACTTGTAACTGATTGAGCGGAGAAGGATGTTTATAATAATTAATAATAATTATAATTTTAATAATGATAATAATTTTACAGGCCCACTGCCACCTTCAGAATTTATAACCTGATCACATGACAATGAGCAGCGCTATCGATTTTCTTTTTGATTTCCTCAACGATTTTATTAGGCACGTAAATTTAATTTTAACGTCTTATTTGATCACTTTTATATCATGGCTTTCATAAGGTTGAAACAATTTAGTCCTTATGATCAAAGCTTTTACAGGTTTAATAATTACAATAGGTCTAAAAAATTTCAAGCATTTTGTAATTCATGTTATTTTCATCAGTGATGATGATGATTTTTAACGTGGGCATATAGATACCAATTTCAGGTTTCGCTATTTATCTGTGATGTCTTCAATTCTGTGATTGGCCCTAAATAAAAGCGGCCAAAAGTTCACCCTCGTGTCCAGCCGCCCTAACGACAATGTGTCAGATGGCCGCTGGTTTTTAAGGAGTTTCAACTGTCGATTCCTGCCAATATTTCTTTGTGGTCTGCTGAGTTGCGTCTTACGCGAACTCCAATTGAAATTTCATTTGCTTCTGCAGCAGCAAAAAATCTAACACAAGGACATGTGTTCTTTCTTTAGACAAAGCTGCGGCTTTTGATTGTTTTGGGCGATGAGCTGGAAAAAGTGGGTGAGCGATGAACCTCGAAACTGGTTCATAGAAGTAGTGAACAGTGGTCCGTTTTGAGCAGTACGGCTCGTCGCCGGTTCACTTTAAAAGTCAGCAGTAGGAAAGAAATTAAATATTTGAAAGGCATAAAAGGGTTATCCAAAAATTATTTAATAAGGTTTATTAGGTTGCACCGTTGTATCTTGTATGTAAGTACACTATAGTGTTTTCTTAATGAAAATTATTTCCTAGATATAATTTAATCTTCGTTCAATAGTCTTAGGCATGTCAGTGCCCTAGTACTGAAAGACTTCTGATTCCCTTAACCGTCTTCTTGTGACCGTTAATGTTCACATTCACGAACAAAATTTGATTAATGTACAGTATCCTGAAAAGGTCCAGTATTCTGTTAGATGTTAGAATTGTCCAAAGTTGAGAACCGCCACTTCCCATAATGGAAATAATTGTTTTTCCGAGCTATAACTGAGTTAGTGGCAACTTCCCATAAAGTTTTAAAGTTTTCCGCACAAATCGGCGATGGTTTCTAGATCCTGGGAGTCATTGTTTTTTTCTTGTCTTCACATTTTCCAAATTGGAAATTTTTAACACTAATATTATTAATTGATCACCATTAATGCTTTGAATTATTTTTTTGCGTCTGAATACCCGGCATTGAATTTCTTTTTAGCGCAATTTCTCAATTATGGAAAAAGGCGCTATTGTGCTCTTCCTGTCCGTCCGCCTGTCTGTCCGTCCGTCCGTCTGTGACCACGTTTTCGTCGACGAGAAAATGCGCTCTGTCACTCACTGCAGTGAATACTGAGTAATATTTTTTTATATGCTAGTCCATTTACATCTTAATAACCTTAGAATTTTTTTCAGACTTTTTTCCAGAAAGTTGATTGGACTGACTGCAAGATCATTAAAATTACTTTGTCTCCAACCCTCTTAATACTCCGCAGAAAATTGATATGTCGGAAACTGAGCACGTGGAGGAATGAAACTGGCCACAAGTTTTACTGTCCTGACCTTCATGGTCGCTTATGGAGCATGTGGTGGTTAGTGTGGATAATTTTTCTTCAATTGAGTCTTACTTCTTTTACCTAAATTTTTTAATTTGCAAATTGATGAGAAGGGGAGTAGAAAAATTCTAGTTGTAATTATTATGATTGGTAATTTTTTATGGGTTATCATATATATTCAATTTTATTGCATTTTTAGAGCTGATGAGTTTAGAGCTGACAATTTTTACTTTACTAACACGAAGTTGAACTTCTGATTGAAGAAAATCATTAAACAGTTCAAATGAAAACTGTTATGTGTCATTGTCGCGCTAATTTTCCGAGACTTGTCCGATTATTGAGCATTTAAATTTAACAAAGAGCTGTTCGGAACGCATTGATCAGAAAAGCTGGGACACATTCTGAACTCATTTAATTAATTCACTTAATTGGAACCAACCGATCAGACCCGCACCTCAACGTCGACAATTGCCGCACTAAATGACCATCAATTTTAATAAGCATCAGAAAATAGAGAGGAAACTCACGCCTTATAAAGCTTTATTTAATTCCATGCTATAATTTTTACGAATATCCTAAACCGCGATTTGTTACAATATTGTTTTAATCCATTCATTTTAGCTTCTATCATAATATGATAGCATGTTCTAAAAATTATTTTTGATCACTTCTGCGCGTTAATTCGTATTAGAGTATTCATCGATTGATGCATTTAATCAATGCAGGCACCGATGCGTGTTCGTTGCATAGCTTCGTGCACTTAATTAATGCATGCAGAAATGGACGATTTGGTAAAATTTAAACAATGTAAGCATGTAAGAGTATGCGTAATTGAATAGCTGGGCGTGAGATTAAGAGCCCTACGATTGTGTATATCAGCAAACGTCTGGGAAAATATTTACTAATGATTTCTTGATGTTCTTATTTAGTAACGAGTTGCAGTGGTATTGGTATTTAATTTCTTTCATATATACAGAATATTCCGTTGTTTCTGTAAGTGTGCGTCAGCAAACAGTAATTCGTTTGATTGGAAAAATCAACATGAATGCTACAAGCGAATCCAGAAATTGCAAAGGGCAGGTTTTTTTATAATTTCTATCACTTTCAAAATATGTCAGAAACGCTAGATGACCTTCAATTGCCCCTCTAACTACTACTTGCACTACTCCACAGTGGTAGTCGCTCCCACACACACTAATCAATGGTTCAATAAAGTCTACGGGTAGCTCGGACTTTAACTTCCCTCGAACATCCTACAAGTTCGCCAGTGAAGCTTTCGCTGAGGACATCAAAATAATTTCCATGTTTTAAAATAAATAAATGTTTGGCTGCATTCGAACAGATGCCTTTATCATTGATTGTTTGAGTGTGCGAATTTGTGCTGACGTAGCGTATACGAGAATTTTGCGAGATGGACGAAAGTTCTGGGTAGTAAATGTGATCACATAAATATATAATTAAATATTTGTATAGGACGACAGAATTATTTATTTCTTTTAAGTGGTTTGATTAAAATCCCGATAATTAGTTTTGCCATAAATTTTTTAATTAGCATTTTTCAATTCATCGAACCATATTTTTCGTTAGCGTTGGTACACTAAATATTTATGACAGCAAAAGTTTACGATTTCAATGAAAAATTAGAGAAATTCTTTTATGCCGCCTGAATATGAAGCATTCAAGTGAACAATTTACCGTAGCCTTTTTTAAGACCTACCATTTCCTGAATATTTCCATCGCTGTTGTACGAGTTGACAACCACTTCTGAAAAGACCAGCTTCTTGCAGGCAAGTTTGGCCCTTAAATTTGATCCGCTCAAACTGGCTTTGACTTGCTTCAGTGGAGCACGTGACGAAATCTTAGAAAAATTGCCCGAATTTACAGGAGCGGCGGTTCAGAAAGATTTCTTTTATTGAAAAATATTACTGAACAAGATAGTTACTTATGAGACTTGTTTTCAGCAAACCATTTATTTAATTTGCGTCGAAGGAATTTTTGTTTTCAGCTATATGCAATCACTGGAAATGTATTGGAGTTGCACATAAATTTTTTGTTGTATTGAATTTTGTGAAGAACAATTTTGTACATTTTTAGGAAAAATCCAATGTATTGGATTTTTTGAAAACAACTTTTCGAAAATCGTTCACAATAAACAAACAACACATTGGAGTTTCTAATTCGACGTGTCTCTTGTTGTACTCATAGTAATCTTTTTGAGTTGTTTTCTTTAAAATTTTTTGTAATCTTAACATTCCCGTTGAAACTTTTCGTGCTCGCTAGAAGAAGCGGCGGACGTTAGTTGCGTTAGATTGTATGGGCGTCTCATTCATCAGAACGCTCTGACGGCACGGACGCTGATATGATGAATGGGCGAGAAATATCTCAGCTGAAGGCCAGCTAATTTTTAATTTATTTTGCCTTGGAAAAGATTAATAAGTTTTTTTCAATTAGAATGTTTTGTAGAGACGGCAAGCAAGAAGATGACCACACAACATTTTTCTAAGACCATGCAAATGCGAAACAAGTCGAGAAGTCAATTCCTTTTCTAAATTTTTTTTACATTTTAAACAACAATGTATATCTCATTGCATTTATGGCCTTAGTGCCTACGACAAGTACGTTTTCGAGCTACAAGCAATATTCAGCAATGCAGCTCTGCATATATATTACTTAGCAATACACAGCAATGCAGCATCGATGGTATATTACTTAGCCAATACACAGCAAAGCGGCACTGCAGGTATATTACTTAGCCAATACACAGCAAAGCGGCACTGCAGGTATATTACTTAGCCAACACACAACACTGCAGGTATAATACTAAGCCAATACCAGCAATGCAGCATCGATGGTATTTCATTGAGTGGTGTTGGTCAGGTTGAGGTTGACAACACTACGTCTGCCTGGCGGTTGGTGGTGACGCCTGCGCTGCGTAATGACTCCGGCGCGTACGAGTGTCAGGTCAACACCAGGCCTAAGCTGTCATGGACCGTCACTCTCAACGTCAGAGGTAGCCTTTAAAACGTACAGAATTATTTAGAGATATTCAGTGTTTACATTTTTCCTATTAGCCTAAAATATCATGAGTCGACGCACGTGATTAGGCTAATTAGAGTCTGTCGCTGATCTCGTCGACTTATACTTATCGTCTCGTTCAGTTGAAACCTTTCATTTATGCTTAAAATTGCAATTTGATCTACAAACGAAATAATACGGCCGATTATCACAGCGGAATCTTTTATTTGTTTAGTTCCAGTAGCGCTGTTGGAAGGCCCTCGGGAGCTGTACATCAAGAGTGGCTCTACTCTCGTCCTCACCTGCACCGCTACCCTCCATCCCGAGGCCTCTTCTTCAGTGAGACGAAGCACCGTTTGTAAAATAACAAACAATAGAATAGAATAGAATAGAAGTGTCGATACTGCTGAAATAGGCCCATGGCCTGTTGCCGATTCTTGAATTTTTTATGACTTGATTCACAAGGGATCCGGCCTTTGGAACCCGATCTTTAACAATACTATATAACTAGCACTAATCTTGCGAATAACAATTAATTCTCATGTCGCATTTATTAGGGAACAATTCAATACGATTATTCGACAGCAATATAAGACAGACAAAAACTTGGACGTTCAAAATTGCAACGAATTTTCACTTAATATCCGTAAGGTGGTTTGGAAGCACAACGGTTCTGCCGTGAGTATCTTGAGCCCACGAGGGGGCGTGAGCGTCGAGACTGAGAAGGAGGGCCGCCAGCTCATGTCGCGCTTGTCGCTCGTTCACGCCATCGCCAGCGACGCCGGCAACTACACCTGTGAACCTCACCTCGTGTTCCCAGCCAACGTCTCTGTTTACGTCGTTGAAGGTCAGAACTGTGATAATTGATTATTCGTCTTATATAGTTATTAATTAATGGGCCACATCAGGCCTACAATTCAGCGCCGAGTTCACTATGTTAATTAATTTATGTATTTATTCGTTTATTATAGCAACCATTTATCGAGCGTTTTGTTTATAGAAATTACTGGAACTTGTTAAGTTCAACGCTAAAAGAAATAAGGCTTTTTAGGCAGTGTACATGCATTATAGGATAGATCTAATATATACGAGTACTTACTGAATACTTTATGCGCTGCAACTATGGTCTCACCATACATAAAATTTGTTTTCCTTATTTTTTATAAAATGAACCTTTTCTTGAAATGAATCCTACTGCTGATGTTCCCTTGACATGCAGAGTCCAGCGGAAATTAGGATTTTTAAACTCACATTCTATCTCTATAATTATAACTTAATTGTTGCAAATCCTGACTAACGGTATCCCAGTTACCGAGTGCGGTATTTTACTCGTAGGTACAAAAGGCCGCAAGAAAGACAGCAGCGCGGTAGTTTTCTGGTATCTGAGCAAACACTTAGCACTAAACTTAGTATCCAACTCACATTCTGTTCCTATAATTATGACTTGTAGCAAATCCTGCCTAGCGGTGTCCCAGTTACCGAGTGCGATATTTTACTCGTAGGTACAAAAGGCCGCAAGAAAGACAGCAGCGCGTGGAAGCCTCCCGCCTTCAACACGGAGCTGCCCTCTAACTTGACGGTCCTCTTTACAGGAGCGGCGGTTCAGAAAGATTTCTTTTATTGAAAAATATTACTGAACAAGATAGTTACGAAGCCGCTGAATTTATACATAATACACATAATAATATATGCTATTTGAGAACCAAACTATAGTCCTAGCAGTATACAGAAAAAAGAACCTTCAATGTTATGGTTAATTTAATAGTTTCGTTCTAACCTTCAATATCCTCATTATATTTACTGTAGTTTTATGGTATCTGAGCAAAGACTTAGCACTAAACTTAGTATCCAACTCACATTCTATTCCTATAATTATGACTTATTGCAAATCCTGACTAACGGTATCCCAGTTACCGAGTGCGGTATTTTACTCGTAGGTACCAAAGGCCGCAAGAAAGGCAGCAGCGCGGTAGTTTTCTGGTATCTGAGCAAACACTTAGCACTAAACTCAGTATCCAACTCACATTCTGTCCCTATAATTATGACTTGTAGCAAATCCTGCCTAGCGGTGTCCCAGTTACCGAGTGCGGTGTTTTACTCGTAGGTACAAAAGGCCGCAAGAAAGACAGCAGCGCGTGGAAGCCTCCCGCCTTCAACACGGAGCTGCCCTCTAACTTGACGGTCCTCGAGGGCGAGACGGCTACCCTTACGTGCGAGGTTACGAGGCTCCGGGGCCGAGCGGTCAGAATGCCTTGACAATTAATTTAATTTGAATTAATTTGATATAAAGTGAATGTATCGAAAGAATATGATAAATATTGATATTTTGATTGATATTAGAAATTAAAAAAATGTTGTATATGTGGTCGAGTGTAGCATGCTGATCGAAGTCGGTATCACCGATTTTTGTTATATGCTTAGAACATACAATCAATATATGCTGAAACATCAATATGTCTTACTCGTGTTTGAGTCAGAATTGAGAAAACTGTACCAATATTGTCAGCGTCAGTTTGTTTATTCTGAAACTCGATGGAATGCAAAATATTACATATTTCCTGGGAGATGTTCAAATTATAATTGAGGTCTCTTTAAAAGAGTGGTATTGTAATTTGACAGGTTTCATGGATACGGCAAAGAGATCTCCATGTAATTTCCGCCGACAATCTCATCTTCACCACTGACAGCAGGTTCCAAGTAAGTGGAAACATAATAATGTTTTCCTTGATTTATGAGACTTGTTTTCAGCAAACCATTTATTTAATTTGCGTCGAAGGAATTTTTGTTTTCAGCTATATGCAATCACTGGAAATGTATTGGAGTTGCACATAAATTTTTTGTTGTATTGAATTTTGTGAAGAACAATTTTGTACATTTTTAGGAAAAATCCAATGTATTGGATTTTTTGAAAACAACTTTTCGAAAATCGTTCACAATAAACAAACAACACATTGGAGTTTCTAATTCGACGTGTCTCTTGTTGTACTCATAGTAATCTTTTTGAGTTGTTTTCTTTAAAATTTTTTGTAATCTTAACATTCCCGTTGAAACTTTTCGTGCTCGCTAGAAGAAGCGGCGGACGTTAGTTGCGTTAGATTGTATGGGCGTCTCATTCATCAGAACGCTCTGACGGCACGGACGCTGATATGATGAATGGGCGAGAAATATCTCAGCTGAAGGCCAGCTAATTTTTAATTTATTTTGCCTTGGAAAAGATTAATAAGTTTTTTTCAATTAGAATGTTTTGTAGAGACGGCAAGCAAGAAGATGACCACACAACATTTTTCTAAGACCATGCAAATGCGAAACAAGTCGAGAAGTCAATTCCTTTTCTAAATTTTTTTTACATTTTAAACAACAATGTATATCTCATTGCATTTATGGCCTTAGTGCCTACGACAAGTACGTTTTCGAGCTACAAGCAATATTCAGCAATGCAGCTCTGCATATATATTACTTAGCAATACACAGCAATGCAGCATCGATGGTATATTACTTAGCCAATACACAGCAAAGCGGCACTGCAGGTATATTACTTAGCCAATACACAGCAAAGCGGCACTGCAGGTATATTACTTAGCCAACACACAACACTGCAGGTATAATACTAAGCCAATACCAGCAATGCAGCATCGATGGTATTTCATTGAGTGGTGTTGGTCAGGTTGAGGTTGACAACACTACGTCTGCCTGGCGGTTGGTGGTGACGCCTGCGCTGCGTAATGACTCCGGCGCGTACGAGTGTCAGGTCAACACCAGGCCTAAGCTGTCATGGACCGTCACTCTCAACGTCAGAGGTAGCCTTTAAAACGTACAGAATTATTTAGAGATATTCAGTGTTTACATTTTTCCTATTAGCTGAGAAGGAGGGCCGCCAGCTCATGTCGCGCTTGTCGCTCGTTCACGCCATCGCCAGCGACGCCGGCAACTACACCTGTGAACCTCACCTCGTGTTTCCAGCCAACGTCTCCGTTTACGTCGTTGAAGGTCAGAACTGTGATAATTGATTATTCTTCTTATAAAATTATTAATTAATAGGCCACATCGGGCCTACAATTCAGCGCCGAGATCACTATGTTAATTAATATATTTATTTATTCGTTTATTATAGCGCCCATTTATCGAACGTTTTCTTAATAGAAATTACTGGAATTTGTTAACTTCAACGCTAAAAGAAATAAAGCTTTTTAGGCAGTGTACATTATAGGATAGATCCAATATATACGAGTACTTACTGAATACTTTATCCGCTGCAACTATGGTCTCACCATACATAAAATTTGTTTTCCTTATTTTTTATAAAATGAACCTTTCCTTGAAATGAATCCTACTGCTGATGTTCCCTTGACATGCAGAGTCCAGCGGAAATTAGGATTTTTTGCCAAGTTCGAAGCTTGTAATAATTTCGGACCTCTTTTAGACATTCATGATTATGGGTGTAGAATAACAGGTATAGACAAGAGTGTGTTATATGGCTGTTTACGAACACGCATCATAACAGGTAAAGGCAAGATAGTTTTATAATGCTGTATAATAACACGCATAATAACAGGTATAGATATGAGCGTGTTATAATGGTGTATAATAACATACATAATAACATGTGTAGACAAGAGCGTATTATAATGCTGAATAATAACAGGTATAGACAAGAGAATGTTAGTATGCTGTGTAATGAATATTTATTGAATGCTTCTCAAATTGTACGAAGACTTTTTAAGCGACTCTGATACGTCGGTAAATTTAGACTATCTTTTTAATTCACCGCGAAGTTAATTAAAACCAAATTGTCTGCATTGACTCATTTATTTCTCTTTTAATACAACTTAGTAGAGAAAAATCGTCAAATTTGCGATGATAATTTCACTCATGAAAAGTAAGGACAGACGCTCATACACAGATGAAAGCTTCCACCCAATAAAATTGAGCAGTATAGCTGCAAATTTACACAGAAAACGCTCCGAGAAACTAAATAGCTCTCGACTTCACTGCTTCGCTCATCATGAATTCATAACATCGCTGAAAGCAGTGAACTATTTACTTCTCCTTTACTCCCAGATGATTTTTTAAATGTTTGAAAACCGTTAATGGCGGCCATTTATTTGCTCTTTGCTCAAGACGAGAAAAAATCGGCTCGTTACCTTTAAAAGAAATTTTATCCGGAGACTGTAAACACGCTTGCAAATTTTCCACCATTCCGCCCGTTTATAAGTGCGATTGCATTTTCTTATAGGCTTGAAATTAGTGTCGATTAATATCTATTTAGTGATTTAGTGTCGTAATATCGACTAATGAATATGCATGTTGACGTAGCGTTAGCGTCTTTTTCAGGACCCCTGGATTTAAGAACCCTCCCCTTGACTCAAGGCTCGNCTTGACCACTGCCTTGACCAATGCCTTGACCATTGTCTTGACCATTGCCTTGCCACTGTCTTGACCACTGCCTTGACCACTGCCTTGACCACTGTCATGACCACTGCCTTGTCCACTGCCTTGACCACTGCCTTGACCACCGCCATGACCATCGCCTTGACCACTGCCTTGACCACTGCCTTGACCACAGTCTTGACCACTGCGTTCACCGCTGCCTTGACCACTACTTTGACCACTGCCTTGACCACCGCCTTGACCGCTGCTTTGACCACCGGCTTGACCGCTGCTTTGACCACTGCCTTGACACCGCTTTGACCACTGCCTTGACCGCTGCCTCTGTCTCTTATACACATCTAGATGTGTATAAGAGACAGGGGCAGACCGGATCTTGGATTTGGAACTGAAGAGTTTGCCAATCGCTATTTTTCATTCATTAGATGGAATTTTTGTAAAGCATTATTTGACTAAAGATCGGATTAATGGTTCATTCAAGCAAGAAATAAATCTCCTCCTCTTGGACAAATTCCCGCATTCCTGCCAATTTATCAACGATGACGAAGCACTCGGAATAAAGAAATAGTTAGACGAACATGACAGATGCGATTTACATATTTCGTTAATTCGAGCCTTTCCCGCCAAATTTAATTTCGCGCTGACCAAAATCATGACCACAGGCGCAACATGAATTTTTTGTTTTATGGCCACCATGTTGTGAAATTATCTCGCCTTAATCCAATAAAGTTATCATAAAGAAAATCTCAGAGCAAGACTGATTAATGAAACACGTACGACCTCAACAGGGAAATACAATAAGGTCGGGTCAACGAATATACTTAAGAGCATTGTCGTGTAGAAGAGATAATGAATGTCACGATACTTTATCTTGCGATATTCCTTCTGAGGATTTCGCAACAGACGTTAAACTAGGTTGATTTACGATCGTTGTGTGTTATCGTTAACCTCGTACACCTGTCTCTTATACACATCTAGATGTGTATAAGAGAAACAGGTATAGATATGCGCGTGTTATAATGGTGTATAATGACACGCATCATAACAGGTAAAGGCAAGATAGTTTTATAATGCTGTATAATAACACGCATAATAACAGGTATAGATATGAGCGTGTTATAATGGTGTATAATAACATGCATCATAACAGGTATAGGCAAGAGAGTGTTATAATGCTGTATAATAACACGCATAATAGCAAGTATAGATATGAGCGTGTTATTATGCTGTATAATGACACGCATCATAACAGGTATAGGCAAGAGAGTGTTATAATGCTTTATAATAACACGCATAATAGCAAGTATAGACAAGAGCGTATTATAATGCTGAATAATAACAGGTATAGACAAGAGTGTGTTATTAGGCTGATTACTAACACGCATCATAAGAGGTAAAGGCAAGATAGTGTTATAATGCTGTATAATAACACGCATAATAACAGGTATAGATATGAGCGTGTTATAATGGTGTATAATAACATACATCATAACAGGTATAGGCAAGAGAGTGTTATAATGCTGTATAATAACACGCATAATAGCAAGTATAGACAAGAGCGTATTATAATGCTGAATAATAAGGTATAGACAATAGTATGTTATTATGCTGTGTAATGAATGTTTATTGAATGCTTCTCAAATTGTACGAAGACTTTTTAAGCGCCTCTGATACGTCGGTAAATATAGACTATCTTTTTAATTCACCGCGAAGTTAATTAAAACCAAATTGTCTGCATTGACTCATTTATTTCTCTTTTAATACAACTTAGTAGAGGAAAATCGTCAAATTTGCGATGAGAATTTCACTCATAAAAAGTAAGGACAGACACTCAGACACAGATGAAAGCTTCCACCCAATAAAATTGAGCAGCATAGCTGCAAATTTACACAGAAAACGCTCCGAGAAACTAAATAGCTCTCGACTTCACTGCTTCGCTCATCATGAATTCATAACATCGCTGAAAGCAGTGAACTATTTACTTCTCCTTTACTCCCAGATGATTTTTTAAATGTTTGAAAACCGTTAATGGCGGCCATTTATTTGCTCTTTGCTCAAGACGAGAAAAAATCGGCTCGTTACCTTTAAGAAATTTTATCCGGAGACTGTAAACACGCTTGCACATTTTCCACCATTCCGCCCGTTTATAAGTACGATTGCATTTTCTTATAGGCTTGAAATTAGTGTCGATTAATATCTATTTAGTGATTTAGTGTCGTAATATCGACTAATGAATATGCATGTTGACGTAGCGTTAGCGTCATTTTCAGGAACCCTGGGTTTTAAAACCCTCCCCTTGACTCAAGGCTCGGTCACGCCTTTTTCTTTAAAAATATCAATCACGGGCGCCTCATTTCTCGAGGCTGCCATCATTAGTGGAAGTTTTTGGTCAGTCAAATCAAAATTTCATGCAATTAAAATTCGGCTACGAGAGCTCAGAATTCTTCCGGGAAAATTTTTTATTTGGATGATCCTGATCAAGTTTTACAGAAAGCAGTCAACATTGGCAGGAATTTGATGTTCCAAAATTTAGTTCCAATTGATGTTTCTGGATCAAAATTTAATAGATTATGATTCCATGGCTTCTTATGTATAAAAATTAACATAGAGAGTTAGATACAGCTATCTGATGTATTTTAGTTTGCTCAAGTTATTTAAATTTCTCTTAAAATCAGCCCGATAACAAATTAGAAGCCAGGGTGCATATTTTAAGACGAATTTATATTCGCGGAAGAATGAAATAAAATCAATACAGAATTTTCCATTGTTCTTCTCTACAGACGAAGCGCCAGCCGCCATGGCTCATGACGGCAGCAGCAGTGAGCAGCCATCTTTTCTGCTCGTCTCCTTGAGTCTTCTGCTCCTTGCGGGTGCGGTGAGCAGAACGAGTTCTTCCAGAACAATCGGGATCACTGAGATCAATTCATCAAATTCCTCAAAGCCGAGGTGTAAGAAGTCCCATTATGTGCATCGAACATCCATTTCAGTAATGGATGAACCTGAACCGGTGTTCTATCAACAGATGATTACCTCTAAATCCCCTGTTGTGGATTTTCCAACTCCTTTGGGCGCGTGCACGCGAACTTTCCAAATTTACTTCTTGAAAGTTACCCGATCAACCGAGAATAAAATCCAGAAGCAGTCCATTTATTCTGCCATAGAATATCCTAAGGGAGTTAAAGTTTCCACAGTAAATCTTTGGCAGCATAAAAAGCAGGCACTTGAAGCACTCAAATGTGATTTTGAAGGTAAAAGCACCGGCACAACTGGAACAGCTTTACAGAAAATTAACCTCCCATGCAAAAATACTGTGACATGTTCTTTTTCCGCTGAAAGTAATAGAGAAATAATACCAGTTTTCCGTAAATGCTTCATTATTACCTCCATATATCACAATGCGGCTATGGATGCTTTAGCTCCGACTTTGAAAGAAATTTTATTGGTCGAATTACATGAAATAGATTGCGCGTGTGGTGTAATTTTACGAGGCATGCTTGAAACGCGGAATGTATCAAATGAAGAGAATAAAGAAACATTTTCGGAAAAGTTATTTTACAATTTTACTTTCGTAGAAAAGTTTAAAGGCCAGGAATTGTTTTTGGCTTCAATATCACATTTGTGCTGGGGCAGACCGGATCTTGGATTTGGAACTGAAGAGTTTGCCAATCGCTATTTTTCATTCATTAGATGGAATTTTTGTAACGCACTATTTGGCGGAAGATCGGATTAATGATTCATTCAAGCAAGAAATACATCTTCCCCTCTTGGACAAACTCCCGCATTTCTGCCAAGTTATCAACGATGACGAAGCATTCGGAAAAAAGAAATAGTTAGACGAACATGACAAATGCGATTTACATATTTCGTTAATTCGAGCCTTTCCCGCCAAATTTAATTTCGCGCTGACCAAAATCATGACCACAGGCGCAACATGAATTTTTTGTTTTATGGCCACCATGTTGTGAAATTATCTCGCCTTAATCCAATAAAGTTATCATAAAGAAAATCTCAGAGCAAGACTGATTAATGAAACACGTACGACCTCAACAGGGAAATACAATAAGGTCGGGTCAACGAATATACTTAAGAGCATTGTCGTGTAGAAGAGATAATGAATGTCACGATACTTTATCTTGCGATATTCCTTCTGAGGATTTCGCAACAGACGTTAAACTAGGTTGATTTACGATCGTTGTGTGTTATCGTTAACCTCGTACACTACTGTACTACATACTGAACTACTACTACTGATATAAAAACTCTCATGCAATTTCCGAATGCCTTTCGTCTCACAATGTTGGAAAAAAACATAAAATGTTTCTCATGGTTTCGTGTATCAGGTAATATAATTCAAACCTGTCCTTCACTCTGCATGTAATCGGCGAGCGAGATCGATATTTTCTTAACTCAATTTTTACTGGCCAGATTTCTATTTGACGGAACCGTTGATTTTAAGACACACATTTTTAAGGCGTTCTTTATTCAAACTGCTTTTGTTCTTGAAAGGTCTCGTAATAAAATGTTTTATGAAAATTTAAAATTAGGTGGTAAATCCTAAGCTATTTTGAATAAAAAAAATAGATTTTACAATTTACAATGCAGTTCTTGTTCCTCGTATTTGCTCGGAATGAAAATCTTAAGCGATATTTTCTCGGCTCGTGTGTTGGTTTTCACTTACATACAATCTTGTTACCAATGCCTCTTAATGCTTTGATACCTTCCTTCTTAATTTAAAACTGATACAATTATGATAACTGTAGTCAGATGAATGTTAATGTGTAGCAGTCACCCAAAATTTATTACATTCATCGGTTCGAGGAAATAACGCGCTATCTGTCAGAAGTATTGAGAAATTGTAAAGCCACTCGAGTAAGATTTCTGAGTAGAGACAAAAGTCATAATAAAAATAAGGATTTGTTCGTGATGCTGGTATTTTATTCGTCCACAAATGATGACTTATTGTGAGATCAGTTGAAAATTTCTTAAGGATTTTTAGCTTGGGTCATAAGGACACTTAAACTTCCAAGTTTTCTTGGGTTTGCCAGAATTGTACTATTTTGTACAAACTCTGACTACTTTTATTATTCATGTTTGCACCAGAATCATGAAAAGCAAGAAAATGAAGGCAAAAGGCAAAGAGGATTATTCTCGTTTGTCAAAAATTATTGCAGTCACGTATCTTATTCAGAACCCTGACCGAACCATATGAATTCACGACGTTCACTCACCGGATGGTAGCAAGACACCCACCCAATCTTATGGATCACTCCGAGTTATCGTGGAACATACTAACGCTCATGAACGTGTACCGGGTGACAAACAGTCACGATAGAAGCTTACACACTGACTCTAACGATCCAATTCAATGACTTACGTGTTTATGATTAACATGCCCCCATAAGGGAATTCTAGCTCCTATGGCCTGCATAGCTGAAATATTGAACGAAAACATCATTGTTAAGGATTGCACCGTTAAAAACGTCAACTTCAAATTCAGAAGTATGCTTCCTAATCATTTAAATATACATATTACTTCTTTACATATCAATTAATTGACTAAGTAGCGTATTTGAATCCTATACTAACGATACTGGTGATATCTCTTCTGTATTATATCCTCACTATTCATTCTATGCCTATACATAAAACATACAAGCCTTACTGCACGCTGATTACGTCTTCATTAAGAAACTCATATACAGAAGTACGGGGAGAAACTTTGTCAAGATTTTCTTGATGTCCAATATCAGCAAAGCCCCTGAGCTTCTTTTCTGTCGTAACTACTAGGCAAGAAAGTTTTCCAGAAGCATTGGCAGGGCAACGGTCCCCGGGTTGAAATAACGACGTTTGCTTAGTATAGTGTCAAGGTACGAGTGAAAACCTGGAACATCCGCAGAAAGGCGGGAGGTTTGTGGGGAAAAGTGAAATAGGGCGGCCGTTCTCAACTGGAAAAGTCAGAACACCGTTAACTTTACGACAAATAAGCTTCCTGCACAAACTTCTCTCAACTTGGCACGAAAGTTTGTCAGCCTTTTTTTTATTTTTTAACATCTCAAAAAGACCGGTGCTTTACAATGGAAAGTTTTCAAAGAGATTTGGGTGGTTGTGTCCGCACACAAGAAAAAACTGGAAAGTTTACGCTTGGTCGGCGCATTAAAATCTGCCGTTAGTGGCAACGGGATAGAGAAAATAATGGTTCAGGTCTCTTAAATGTAGCAAATGAGTTGCTACCGGGGACTATTTCATGTTTTAAGACAAGTTACGTTACAGGAGAACTGTAAACTTTTTATAGGAACTTTCGCTGGAAGGGGAGTACATAGAAATGCAGAATAAAAACTTGAAAGCCGAATTCAATCGAATCGTATACGAACCTTTCCTCTCGCTCTTTCATCCATTCCAAAATGCAAGAATCATCGTGTATAGAACTTCTTCATATTTCCAACTAGATTTGAGTGAGGCGGACAAGGAATTCCCTTCATTTTACTCAATAATAAAAGTTATATTTTTTCCACAATTTTATCTGAAAATTTAGTGTCTATGTGCGGTGCTGCAACAAAGAAAGGACGTCCAGTGTTATCGCGAGACGAAAAATTGATTATGTTTCAATCGAACTTTGCGATATGCAAGAACATGAACCATAATAGTATACAATTTCATCAAGCTTTATCCATTATTACGAAGCAGAATGATATGCCAACAATTTTTTAGCATAATTGTAAATAGACTTGAACTTTGAGATAAAGCGCTCGGCATGCGCCCTCCGATGTATTGTACCTGGGACCTTAAAATTAAGCGCTCAGGCTTTCAAGCGCGTACTCTGATAACATTTCAAGAGCTCATCATTTATTAAGAGTTTCAATAGCGTACACACAAGGCCAGCTTCTTACCAGCCACACTTCAAACAACTCATCAAGAATTCTGGGCCAGAAGTACTGACGGAATTTGATAAGTTCATTAGCCAGCATTTTGGTATCCACCGCCTTCAAACGGTGCCGGTGAAATTGAATTGTGAGGATAAAGCAAGCATATCTCCATACAAATAAAACTTTGAGACTGACCAACGCTCAATTGTATATGGTATAAATAATTAAGAACTTGGTACGAAAGAATATAGAATAATTATTTATATCAGTGCAGGGAATTGTTTAAGTTCAAAGGACTATTTAAAAAATTCCATCGAAGACCAGTGAAATGAACGTAACAAAGGAACAGGTCTAACAAGAGCCAGATAATGGGCCGTTTCAGTTACCGAAAAACGAAAAAAACGACACTTTCTAACGCTAATGGGAGTTAAAAATCAAATGTAAAGCCCACAGATTGGCATGCGCTTTGTCAAGGCAAATTTTTTTACCAGAAAGAAAATGTGAACATCTGAGACTTTTTTGAATATTAGCAAGAATTCCTGCGCGTTGGAGCAATAGCGTTAGAACTTCGAGGAAAAATCCCTCATCTGGGCTTTGTGAGCGCCATACTATCATGTCAAGCTTGGCCTATAAATTCTTCTCGCACTTGAGGTACGAGTAGTAAATTTCCTGGCTTTGAAAATATACGTCATCAAGCGAGGATTCGCCTGAGCAAGGCTGGAGGTAAAGCCTTCGCCGGTACAGCTACCGATTTGAATTTTTTGTCGATTTTCGAAAATTATATCCTAGAAATTCAAAAATAACTCACTAAGTTGGTGTAATTTATTTGAGGAAACTTCTAGTCTTGGTGATTCGATGCGCATCAGAAAATGGCTTTCATTGTTTCATTCAATCTTAATTTATATTATCATGTAATTTTTTATCACACTTGAATGAAAAAATTATTATAACTCTGCAAAATAGACATTTTGGATAGATATTTCATTAGACTTGAAGTTCCACATTACGCGGCATTGATATGGATTCTCAGAATGAGCAGACTAAGTGCATTTAAAAACTGATTATCAACTCATTTTAGGGAGAAAAATCAGAAGTATTCATTGCAAAAATGTAAGAAACTTCGCAAGTATTAATCGATTTCCGGTTAACATATAAACAAAAGAAAATGTGTGAGCACGAAACAAGTGAAGCAATTAACAGCGGCCCCGACTGATAGCCTCGCCGTAATCAGACACTTTTGGCCTCCTGGGCCATTGATTTTCTCTGCTGGCAGACCAGGAACTGCAGACAAGGCGCCTAGCAGACACTAGGAACTGCGGACAAGGCAGCCAGCAGACACAAGGAACTGCAGACAAGGCGCCCAGCAGACACCAGGAACTGAAGACAAGGCGCCCAGCAGACACCAGGAACTGCAGACATTAAGGCACCAGCAGACACCAGGAACTGCAGACAAGGCGCCCAGCAGACACCAGGAACTGCAGACAAGGCGCCTAGCAGACACCAGGAACTGCAGACAAGGCGACCAGCAGACACCAGGAACTGTAGACAAGGCAACCAGCAGACACCAGGAACTGCAGACAAGGCACCCAGCAGACACCAGGAACTGCAGACAAGGTTGTTATCCCACTACAGCAACTGCAGACAAGGCACCCAGCAGACACCAGGAACTGCAGACAAGGTTGTTATCCCACTACAGCAGCTAATAAGACAAACCATGAATTCCTAATAATGGCTTTCATAGTTTCATTCAATCTTAATTTATATAATCATGTAATTTTTTATCACACTTGAATAAAAAAATTATTATAACTCTGCAAAATAGACTTTTTGGATAGATATTTCATTAGACTTGAAGTTCCACATTACGCGGCATTGATATGGATTCTCAGAATGAGCAGACTAAAGTGCATTTAAAAACTGATTATCAACTCATTTTAGGGAGAAAAATCAGAAGTATTCATTGCAAAAATGTAAGAAACTTCGCAAGTATTAATCGATTTCCGGTTAACATATGAACGAAAGAAAATGTGTGAGCACGAAACAAGTGAAGCAATTAACAGCGGCCCCGACTGATAGCCTCGCCGTAATCAGACACTTTTGGCCTCCTGGGCCATTGATTTTCTCTGCTGGCAGACCAGGAACTGCAGACAAGGCGCCTAGCAGACACTAGGAACTGCGGACAAGGCAGCCAGCAGACACAAGGAACTGCAGACAAGGCGCCCAGCAGACACCAGGAACTGAAGACAAGGCGCCCAGCAGACACCAGGAACTGCAGACATTAAGGCACCAGCAGACACCAGGAACTGCAGACAAGGCGCCCAGCAGACACCAGGAACTGCAGACAAGGCGCCTAGCAGACACCAGGAACTGCAGACAAGGCGACCAGCAGACACCAGGAACTGTAGACAAGGCAACCAGCAGACACCAGGAACTGCAGACAAGGCACCCAGCAGACACCAGGAACTGCAGACAAGGTTGTTATCCCACTACAGCAACTGCAGACAAGGCACCCAGCAGACACCAGGAACTGCAGACAAGGTTGTTATCCCACTACAGCAGCTAATAAGACAAACCATGAATTCCTAATATCATATCGATAACAAAGAGGAGCTTGAAGCATTGTTTAAGTTTACCGCTACAGGATTGCAGTTGTGTTATTATATGTTCACGAAATAATCATACGTATACA